CTTTTCATTGCCACTCCGATTTATAAAATTTAATTTAAAATCTTTTATTAGGCATGGATTACATAATCGATGATAGTCATATGAATTACCACATGTTACGCAATATGATTGTAAATATTCATCATTAAAAATCATAAAATAATCATTTGTATCTGGATTTTGAGATATTCCATAAATATAAAACTTATCACTAGTGACATGAACTCTTCGTTTAATCTATTAAAATAAAGGATTATTATTAGATAAAAAAGGATCAATTTAAAGAAAAATTTCTTACCACATCTAAAAACTGATCAATATTATTTTGTAAATTATGCAAACATTTCAAGATAACTCCTACATCTAATTTTCTTAAATGTTTTCCACTATCTTTATCCCAATATAATGGACCATCTTTCCATTTTGCTGAATATATTGTAGCAAAATCATATTTCTTAATTTTTTTAATATCAATCAATTGATTATATGGTACCCATTCAAATATTGAACCCTGTTCGTTATTAGAGTTTAATTGCCTATTTTGAATAAAATAGTCAATTTTTTCATTTCCGCTGGAACAATCTTTTTCTTGATGTATTTGACATAGTATACACCAATCATGCAGGTTATTCATATGACTTCTACCGCATTTTTCACACAGCTTACGTTTAAAGATTTGCGATAAAGTTCGATTGCTCATAACGTAATTTAAAAAATTCAAAATGAAATGAATATTTTGTTCAAATTTAAATGAATACCAAATGCAGGTCATAAGAATGTCAAAAAAAATACATGACCCAAATATTTATCAAATTATCACACCTTCACTTATGAGTATCACAACCGTCATTAGAATAAACAGCATTTTTAATAAAAATTTCCTCGACATAAACTTTTCCAAACGTGCTTGCAAAAGTTCTATCACATCACATAACACGTAACTAAAATTTTATGAAGGGTTTTCATTTTTTTTTTTCTAATTCGAGGTACAAGCAGTCCTTTTTGACTAATTACTTTTTTTCTTGTCACTGCTTTTTTGACGCAGCGTGAACGTATTAGGAAAGTTCTAAATACCAATAGGATTATAGAAAGATTGCGAAATATTTTCATCAATGATGATTGTATAACATTGACGACGCGGCTAAGGCCAAATATTTAGAACCAAGAAATGCAAATGGTTGTCCACATATAGTAGTTAATGAGTGTCGATCAATCAAGATTCTTGATATAGTTATATAATAATCAGAAAGATGAAATAAAGACTTCGTACAAAATCTGCGAATAAGAATAATGTCAGCATTCCTTATAAGGTAAAAAAAGAATTTATTATTTAAATTTCATAATAAATAACAACAACTAAGTTATCGTAAAGCTTATAAAGATTGACAAAGTTTGTTCTTCGGAGAGAGAAGAGTATACATTATAAGATTTTATTGCGTTACAAAAGAAATTTTAAATGAAATTATTATTTTTACGAGAAAACAAACCAGGAATCATTCATGAAAATTTTGTTCAAATGTAATATTAATATGTAAAATAAATTCATTTGATTATAAATATTTTCGGTTAAATTTATAATGATTTACAATACATTTAATATTTGCTAATGAAGAGAATATCTTAGAAGGTCCGAAGTACAGTATTTTTAATTTGTTTTAGTATATACTGTATATCCAGTTCTACATTTTAGTATAATTGATTAAACTTATAAATTGAGCACTATTCTATTCATGATTTTTCGTAAATAAATAAACATATTCGCCGGTAGTCGTTACCTAAATCGTATCACATGATTATTATTGCTCGTGATCTTGTTCCACATCAACTTATTTTATTAATGATTATAAAACCATTAAAAAGATTAAATGGTGGTTATAAAATGTGAAATTATTATTAGGATATATTCTAAATACACCTCATTTAAAGCAGTTAGTAGTGTAATTAAATAATATAAATTTGTTTTGTTGTGAAATAATTAATATAATAATATTAAGAGTTAAGACTTAAATTATTTTAATGAAGTCATTATAATATTTTTGTAAAAACATTAAATACCATATGACATATTTACATATTTACCATATTTACACAAAAATTAAATCAATCAAATTTAACCACTTTTGGCATGATATATAATCATATTGCAATGGATAAATAAAAAGATTTTAATACTTAACCTAAAAAAAACCTAAATAACTAAAATTCAAGTTAGTAAGATTTGTATATAATGGTGCATTTGGTGAAATTTTATGCATAATCACATGATTAATATAATAAAACATCTCCTGTGGGAATAATTATATTATTGATTTATAACAACAATTTTTCATTCTCTGACTATGATCAGATGATATATCTATTTTTAATCCATTATTTCTATTATGAGTTACAAAGGGTTAGAGAAATTCATTTATTGTTTAGACGGCTATAAAAACTTCCTCCTTTTCCCCTCCTTAATTATTTTTTATTTTCCTCTTCATTTTTAAGAGAACTGAAAAATTAAAATATATGCAAACAGAAAAAAATTATGTAAAGAAAATTTATTAGAATAATTAAATTCTTTTACATTACAAAAAAAAATTATTTTTTATATAATGATCTTTTTAACACTGTGACTATTCAGGTAATAATAATTATGACTCAAAATAATTATGTGATAATGACTGCTCATTTTTGATTTGATAACTGGATTATGCAAGAAATGCACAAGCAAATACTGAACATGTATTAGTGTAATGAAGAAGAACATATTATAAAATAACTAAACGTCCAAATATAAACAAAGTACATTTATTAATGGATAAAGATTTGAAAAATAGATAACACAAATAAAGAGCATAAAATGTTCTGATGAAAATCAGGCATTCATCTGTAATATTGCAAATAATTTTCATCAGGTTAAGATGATGAAAATTTCATAATTACAATTAGTGGCATGAGCAAGTTTGTTGACAACTGTATAGTATTAATAACATTAAGATTTGACGCAAATTGGTTCCAGAATTACAAAAATCACTCGTGCCAAGTTTTCAACTGTCCAATGGGCAAATAACAAGGTGTGCATGCATGGAAACTGTCTTCAAGGTGTTGATAGTAGTTTTCCTTCTGTAACCTATTTAAATACTGCTTGAAGTCAATAAAACGGGAAGTTGCCTTAAAAATATATTAATCTCATCAAAGTTTATGGATAAAAAGACTGTGAGCTAATACCGCCTAATAGATAGTATGATTAACAAGATGAATTATGGCATATTTTTCTTTTTTACTATAAGATTATTTACAGTATAATCTTGTTAATATGATTTTCACTATGAGGTATTAACTAGTTAATTGAAAAAAAAACAGAAAATATTCAAAAGAACTCTGGATTCTATTAAATTGGTTCGGATGTATATTTTTTTAACTATAAATTGAGAATCAGCAGAACTAGATAATTTTATTTTAGTATTTAGGAATTAGGATGAACATACAGAGCAAAATAGCTCTTCAAAACAAATTTCTATCCCATTTTGACCTCTACTATAATACTACATCTTACAGGCTCATAATGAAGATGAAATTAATGTAACCTTGTTGGATCTTGATGTTGATCATTTACGTCTTCAAAAAGTTATTGTATTTCTTTTTATACTTCATTATTATTCACTATTTAGTAAATCTTTTTTGTGCCACAGACTTTGAACCCAACTATCAAAGGACTTCTCAACATTAAAAAAAGAATAGCAAGATATAGGATTAATTCTTACCATACTTGTTTGTTGAAAAGGAATTAACAAGAGTGAAATCAAACTGGAGAAAAGATTATGTTTTAATTTATATGCAGATTTCTTTTTTCTATATTTATATCAACAATTAATTACATGTTCTAGATAGAGGAGATAATTATGAGCTTTCTTCCGTTATTTGAATATAACTTTCAATCTTTTGGAAAAATATGACAATGCAATTTTATAAATGAAGTATTACTTGATTTATTTTATGTTGATCTGAGTCCATTAATTATCAAGTTCCATTTAAAAATAATTGTTTATTCACAAGAGATTTGATACTAAGGTGAACTCAACAAGTGTGTACAGCCTTGTAAGAATACCTATAGCATAATTTATAATTAATTATTTTTCAGAATATCATGAAATATGGACCACAAGTTTATGTATCCCTAGGAATTAGAAATATTTTTTGAAAAAAACCTTTGAAACAAATGATAAATTGCAGAATTTTTAAAGTAATTGATAATATTTTTATATTTATATTTTAAAATGAGTATAATATAATTATGTCGCATATAAAAGGCTTTTATTTAATTTTTACGAATACTTAAAGTGAATTAATTATATGAATTATGTCAAAATTATAACCAATTATTTGGTTTATTTTTTATTTATTTATTTATTTATTTTTTTAATGAATAAATTCGTAACGATTTCTGCATGATAATTTAACCAGGTTTGGCAAGAACCGAAGATCGTGATATTTTACAATCAATATTACATAATGAAATTCCTTTTTTACATCCAAATACGGTAATTATAAATACAAGGACTTGATAGTTGATACATTTCATCGTAAATATGTAATTAGCGCAAACTCGAAATGGGATGTATTTTTTAATTATAAATGTACAACACCTTTTTGCGTCATATTTATATATTTATACATAGAAAATTTCTAACATTTTATCTCTCTTATGATGGTTATCTATTAAGGTTTCAATGCTTTTACAAATTAATAGATTGAAATATAGGATTTAAGCCAATTTTTTTTTTTTAAAAAAAAATAAAAACGCCATACGCAGTCCAAAATTAAATGCACGAAAAAACGATGAGGCTTATTTTTGAAAATAAACAAATAAACATTGAAAGAACATGAACTTAATTTAGTTTTCTCGCGTGTAAATCATCATGCATTATGTTGATCTTTCAATAAAGCATGATGCGCCAAATCATGTGATCATCTATATATAATCCCGAAATTAACAGTAATATAATTTTCTTTCTCGTTAATTTAATTGATAGCCTGATTATAATTTTTTTGACAAATTTCTGACAAAAAGATTTATTTGACTTACTATAGCTTTAAATAATAAAGATTATACAAAATCTTCTTGACTATTAATGAATCATTACGTTTTTTTTATCAAAAGACGAAAATAATAATCGATTAAATCATTCCCCATCATGGATTGTATGTTTATTATTCAAGTAGATCATTGTTTAATTTACATTTGTTATTTTTTATTAAATTTGAAATATTACTAATATTAATCATATATTATAGATGAAGCTATGTCATATGAAATTATGCCCGAACTAGGTTATGAAATCGAAGAATTTAATTATAACACATGGCATATTAAAAATTGGCAGCATTTGGATAAGAGTATAACAGGGCCAGAATTCGAAGTTGGAGGTTGGAAATGGTGTGTTGTAATGATTTTCAAAAAAAAAAGAAAAAAATATAATAAATAATAAACTAATTTAATTATTATAAAAATTTTTAGGCGAATTTTATTATTCCCATTTGGTAATAATAATCAAGATACCGTTTCTATTTATCTTGATTTTGTTGATCCCAAGGGTGCTCCAGCGGGCTGGCATTCATGTGTACAATTCGCTTTAGTCTTGTGTAATGCTGAAGATCCGACACAATTTATTTGGCATCGTACGTATTAAGATTAAATTTTTAACACTCTACATACGCACATTATTATACTATTTTTTTTTAATGTTATTTTCCTTCGGGTTGAAATTTTGAATTTTAGAAACTCATCATCGATTCACTGCTGAAGAATCAGACTGGGGCTTTACACGATTTTATGAATTAAATAAATTATTTGTTCCTTGTGAAAACCGAACACGTGCGATAATTGAAAATTATTCTGCTAATATCACGGCAATTGTACGAGTATTTAAAGATCCTACAGGCGTCTTATGGCATAATTTCATAAAGTATATTTCCGTTACCTCATTTGATCACGAATATTCTCTATGTTATGGCTAACCTTCAATTTGTACATGTGTTTAATCTTTTCATATAGTTATGATTCAAAAAAGGTGACAGGATATGTGGGATTGAAGAATCAAGGCGCTACAGGTTATTTAAATTCATTACTGCAGTCTCTTTATTGTATAACTTCTTTCCGTAAGGTTCGTTTAATGTAAATTATTTGATATAAAAGTACTATTTATATAAAGTCTAATATTTATTTATTAATTATAGGCGGTCTACCAAATTCCCACAGAAGATGATGAACTAATAGAAAGTGTTCCTCTGGCGTTGCAACGAGTTTTTCACAATTTACAGACATCGAATATTACGGTTTGTACGACAGAATTGACAAAATCTTTTGGATGGAATTCATTTGACACTTTAATATATCGAGATGTGCAAGAATTTAATAGGGTGTTGCAAGATAATCTTGAAACAAAGATGAAGGTAGTTTCTTTAGAATTATATTTAAATCTTTTTTATTTCATGTTTATTAGTAAATTTATTTATATTACGTCATTATTTATATCATTTAATATGTTATTTTCTTATTAGGGTACAAAGGCTGATGGTGCACTTACTAAACTTTTTGTCGGTAAAATGAAGAGTTACATCAAATGTATTAATGTGGGTTATGAATCTTCTCGTGTTGAAAATTATTATGGTAATAATAAAGTCTTTATAGCAATATTATACATCATTAAAAGTTGTTTGAGATAATAAATATTGGATTTCAATTTATGTATAGATATTCAACTAAATGTGAAAGGTTGTAAGACTTTAAGAGATTCTTTTAAGAATTATATTCAAGAGGAGATATTGGAAGGCGATAATAAGTATCAAACAGTAGGTTACGGGTTGCAAGTAAGTTGAAAGTAATGTTATTGTTATTTATTAAAGATACTTTTAATCAAAGATAATCTTACCAAATTTTAATGTTATAAAGGTTGCTAAAAAACGTGTTGTATTTGAAAGTTTTCCTCCAGTTTTACATTTACAACTTAAGAGATTCAAATATGACATACAAAAGGGTGCGATTGTTAAGGTGACATTTTTATAATTTGTATTTTATGATAAAAGTCTTCTCTCTTTCTTATAAAATTTATTATATTAGATTAATGATCGTTTTGAATATCCAATGGAAATTGATTTAGAAGAATTTCTATCAAAGGATGCAGATAAATCAAACTCCCATAAATATTTATTGCACGGGTTTGTTTATAACTTTTATAACTATTGCAATGACAAATTATTTTAAACTTTTTAATTTAGTAAATTTACTTTTTTTTATTAAACAGAGTACTCGTTCATAGTGGTGATTTACATAAAGGTCATTATTTTGCTTTACTAAAACCTGAAAAAGACGGCAAATGGTTCATATCATATAATTTCATTTTTTTTCCAAAAAAAAAAAAAAAAAANATGGGCAATTAGAAAAAGCTGTAATATTAGGAGCTTTGTTTATTAAACTTCATATTAATAAAGTTTGGTATTCGGGTATTCAAAGTGTCCAAAAAAAAAAAAAAAAATACTATAACAGATAATATACAATTCTTAAATTATGAAATAGGTTTAAATTTGATGATGACCGTGTTATACCAGTTACAGAGAATGAAGTACTAGAGTATAATTATGGTGGTAAAAATCCAAATAATAATCCAAATAAAATTGGCCATACTCTGATAAAGCATACCAATGCTTATGTATTAATATATATTCGTAAATCAAATATTAACGAGGTGTTATCTCCTTTGGTCTCTGAGGATGTACCTAGTCATTTATGTATGTATGTTTATATGTTTAAAATTAATTAGTTTGAAGGATGTTAATAATTATTATTTATAGGTAAAAGACGTTTGAAGGAATTAATATCCTTATTAGAAATCAAAAAAAATCTTACCGTTAAGGTATTCTTTTTAAAAAAAAATAAAAAAGAAAAAGTAAAGGCTATTAATATTATATATCATATAGGTTGTGACCACTGAAAAATTCAGGAATCATCAAGGATTTGATCTTGCTAATTTTGATGATCGTCAATATCCACTTTCTGATGTACAAACGTATAGTATTCTAAAAAGTGAAACATATGGCGATTTTAAAGAAAACATCTCTCTGGATTTCAATATTCCTTCTGAACAAATACGATTATGGATTCTTGTGAATCGTCAAAATAAAACGATTCGACCTGATTCTCCAATACCAGAATCTTGTTTTGATATTGGTAAATAATAAATTGATTTTTCTATATTTAATATCTTTACTATAATTATATTAATTCTTACTTTATTACATTTATAAATAGGTATGGAAGTTATTCATAAAAAATTCACTTCTCGTCAGAATGAAATGATGTTATATATGGAAGTAGCGGAAAAACCAATTGATGACAAGGTATATATTTTTAATTAATATATTATTGGTCGTTCATTAAATTTATTAATATTATATAGCAATTTACTTTTGTAGACATGGTTCCCAGAAGAAAATGATCACAAAATGATTTTTCTTAAATATTTTGATCCTAACAAACAAGCTTTTGCGTAAGATTATTTGTTACACTTTGTATATATATTATAAATAAAATATCAACATATTTAATTATATAGGGGTTTAGGTCACTTATATGTACATGACTCAGAGAAAGTGAGTGATTATACTCATGTGTTTTGCGAAAAGATGGGATTACCACACGATACTCCTTTGAAAATATATGAGGTATGCATGTTTAAGTATTATAGAAAATATATATTCGATTCTTCTAACAAATATTATTTAACAATATAGGAAATTAAATCAACTATGATTGAAAAGATGAATCTTGAATCCACTTTCCAACAATTAGAAATACAAAATGGCGATATTATTTGTTTACAAAAGGATTTATCGGAAGAGGAGTATGTATTAACGCTTTGCTAGATTTACACTTTTTTGTACTCTATTATATTATTAAAACATTATATATATATATATATATTCTTTTTTAGAATCCGAGAATATATATCATCTGGCTGTTGTTATGATATTCCTCAATTTTATAAGTCATTGACTTTGCGTATCCTTGTCTCATTTAAGCCAAAATTTAAAGATCGAGAACCAAAATCTGAATTTGATTTAATTTTAGGGAAAAAATGGACGTATGATATGGTATATAAAATTCTCATACAATTCTGAGATAATATTTATTTTTTTTATAATTCCTAATGTCATTTAATATTCTAATATAGGTGGCTAAAACAGTTGCCACTCACTTGTGTACGGATCCTCTCAGGTTAAGATTTACCTCAGCATTTTCAACGTCTGATACACCAAAGAGTATCATTAAACGAACCACTGCTCTGATCCTTTCAGAGATGCTTCAAACTGCAAATTTGAGACCGTCAACTCATATTTTGTTTTATGAGGTTTTGGACGTAGAACTAGAAACAAAAAAATTCTTTAAGGTCGCCTGGCTTGGAAGCACAATTAGAGAAGAGGTTTATTACATTCAATATAATTTACTATCTATCTAAGCACTTTTTAATTTATAAATTTGATTTAAAAAAAAAATCCAGGAAATTATTGATATTTATCTTCAAAAGAATGCCATTATTAGCGATCTCAAAGAAGAAATTCTAAAAAAGGTGTCACTATCATCACCAAATTCTAGAATCAGATTGTTTGAAGTTCATCACAATAAGATTAATAAGGATTATTCAGGAACTGAACCGATAGAAAGTATACAAGAATTTGCGACATTATATGCAGAGGTTGAAAATATTTATGATATGGATTAATAATTATTTTTTTATTAAATTATTTATTCATATGCATTATACATTTAATTTAAGGAAGTACCTATGGATGAAATTGTAGCAAATCAATATGATCGAATTATCCAAATATGTCATTTTAAAGAGGATCCAATAAGCCTACATGGAATTCCATTTAAATTTATTATTAAAAATGTAATTTATTTACTGTTACTAAATTTAATTAAGTAGAATAATTTGCAAGAAGAATTTTAAAAATTTAAAATTTGATAATTTTGTACTTTTTTCTTTTTTTTTTAACTTAGGGTGAGAAACTTATTGATACTAGGGTACGTCTTCGGCAACGGCTTGGTATGAGCGAAAATGATTTTTCAAAAGTTAAAATTTCAATTATGCCTGGAACCTTATATGCAAGACCAGAGTATTTATTTGATGAAAGTAAGTTATTATATATATTAAAATGTTTTAGTTCGATCGTTATAAATTTTAATATTTATTTAATTTTACTAGATATAATTATATCGGAAATTAAATTATCAAGTAAAGATTATTTGGGTCTTGATTATGTAGATAGTATAGGTCAAGTGGAGAGGATCAGAGGCTCAGAAGCCATTTATATTCGAAATTAATATACTATTAAATTAACTGTATCGAGAACATATTTTATAGTCATTTTATTTTAATTTAAATGTAAGACGAATGATATTTATATTATTACAAGAAGGATAGGACTAATAATAATGATAATAATAACTAGCATTTAATATATTTATTTAGTTTATTATCTGAAATCATTATTGAAATTTTTTTTTGCAATTAAGAAATTAAAAATTGAATATATAAAGTATCGTATTATTATTAATATACTTTATAAAGTCAAACTATATTAATACATTATATATAGTAGTAAAAATTATAATAAATTTTCTTATAGAATTCTATTTAATTGTTCATTGATTTAAGTGTTCTTTATATTAAAGTACTGTATCAACAATTTGCCATAAAAGCTCCTAAATAAATCTATTAAAACAACAAAATATTATTTTTTGAGTGAAAGGCGTAATGCTCTAATATAATATTATTTAAAGTCAATTTATTATTATACGATCTAGAAGCGCAAAACCTTCAAATATTCATTTACAAACCAGTAATAAATAAGGTGTTAATGTACAGATAATAATATAATTTTTGATATATTTTTGTTTTCATTAATTATAAAGTAGCAATTTTTTCTTTATAGAATATATAAAATATAATCATTTTGTAACTGAGCAAATTACTTTTTAAAATTATTATTAATCGTAAAATTTTAACAAAAATAACTATTCCAAATTTTATAATTTTGTTGTTATACTACTGTACAATCATTTTTCTAACATATTAAAAGTATGACACATAATCCTATACCATTAAAACAATTCTTCCATATTGTAATTAAAATGTTAAAAATATACTTTTAGATATATTATCTGTTATAACAAAAGAGTTTAAAATTTGCTACTTATGAAATATCCAGAATCTGTAAGTATTTTAAAGCAGCTTTTTTATCAAAATGTCTTTTCGTTTGTATTATAATATAAAGAACCATCCTTATATATTTCTGAATACACTTTAGCAATACCACTTTTATCTATTTCTTTAATATCATTAAACTGATCATATGGTATCCATTAAAATATAATATCAAATGAGCTGCTAATTTTTAATTAACAGTATTTGTTTTTAAATATTCTAATTGACATAATTTACACTATTTATAACATAATACACTTCATTACAGTTCTCGCACAATATTTTTCAAAATATTTGTTATCATATATTAAGATATAATCTTTTGAATCAAGATTTTATATATTTTAATAGAAACATTAATAGTATCATGTTTTCTGATCTATTAAAATTTAAAAAAATATTATATTATTATAAAACAAGTTTACAACTTATTTGAAAATAAATAAAGGATATGATTAGATATCGTTTTATGAAACCTAAATGCGAAAGCTCTTTCACTCTTTTTTTTATTCTTATATATAAATACTATAAATAAGTAATTCAACTTTGAAAGATCGTGAATTTCTGATTATTCCATATAATATGAATAAATTTCGTATTAAAATTATTTAAATTAATTAAATTAGTAATTGAACTTTCTCTAATAAAAATGGTTTAAAAATGTTTCATAGTAAACAATCAAAATTTTAGTATTGGAAAATAATTAATTTTCGGGAAGAAAATAAATCATTTAACCAATAATTATTTATAAAAAAAATCATTACATCCTGCCTATGTCTTAATGTATACCGAAAGCATAGAAATGCAATATTAAATAACCCAGAAGTATTTTTAACACAATAAATTTAAGCACACATAATACTATTGTGTTTGTAATATTGTGGATGGTTCAAAATGGATCTGGTGGTAACAAAGTTGAAGCACATCGAATGGATCGGCAAAAAAATCCAGGGAGCCATTATAAATTTTTGATTCTGATGATTTATCCCTACAGTTTTAAACGTTCTTTAATGTGCCAACAATTATGTGTTATCTTTCAAGTTTGGTAAGATTAAAATATTACGCAATTAAGTAATAAAAAGACATAAGACATATTGTTTCAAAGAAATGTGTCTTGTTTTCACCAAAATTCTTTTCTTTATTAACGCTGCTTTCAGAATCGTGTTACCCGTGCAAATCACTTAATAAAATAAAATTACCACATTACAGGACATAAACCGGACAAATTTTCTGCAATTATAATCACTCAGTAATCACAACGTCTGAAAACTGCAATAATAAATTTAAAGTAATTAGAGCTTATAATTGAAAATCATTGGTATTCAGAATAAGGCGCAAGATGTCTCGAAAGGACCTGGAAAAGTCTCATGTAGGTAAGTTACTGTATTTGAGATAAGGATTTAAATCTTCTTGTCCTCCCATTAACAAATTTTACTGCGGAATTATTATGTTTTGTAAAAATTTAGTGAAAGAGTTTTTTTTTATATTAATTTTCATATTGAATATTAATATAATTCCCCAGGAAGAAAATTTAAAAAATCTTTCCCATAATTTGATAATGACAAAGCAACCTCATATTTTGAAAAAATTACCCAAAAATTGGGATCAAAATTATGATCAGCAAATTAAATTCCAGATTTATACAGATTAACAATTTAATTTCTAAATTTATTTTTGATTTTTTTACATAAACGTTATAATGGTTTCTAGGCGTTTAATAAAAAAAAAAGATATTTACATTATCTTTCCAGTTAGAGAGAATTTTAATATAAATATAATTATATAATAATGGCTCACAGTAATAAAAAAGGTAATAATCATATATATATAGCATAAACATTTAACACAATTAAAATTATGAACAAATTTTCAATATAACAAAACTAGGTGCCTCTGAAGAATTTGAAGAAAGTATTGAGAAATTTGAAGAAAACAGTACCAAGGAATTTGAAGGTATGTTGAACAAGCCAAAATATTAAATTTTATTTGTAAATGCACTTAAATACTATCTATAATAATTATATTTTATATAATATACAAATATGATTTAAACTATCTATATTATACAAATGGAAATTATATCAAATAATTTAGCTCGTAAGTTAATAATATAAAGTTATCTTATAATTGAATAATAATGGGATTACTTATTATTTTAATTATATTTCAAAATGATTCATTTAATGCTTAACAATACTGTAGTTGGTAAGTTATCAGTTATTCAAATTTTTGGTTCTTTACTTTACTTATTTTATAAAATATTCAAATAACTAAATTCTTTATTTAAATAATTAATTATGATATTGCAGTAGGTAAGTCACAACATAATATTTAATTATTAATTTTATATAATTCAATTAATTATATTCTTAATTTAAATAATTAGATTGTAAGTAATATATTTAATTTACAGTAAATACTTCTGTATTATGTTACATCTTATTAATTAACAATTAATAATACTACAGGGTGTAAGTTATATCTATATTTCTACTATCAATATAATAATTTAAACCAACTAAGAGTTTACTTAAAAATTATTTTATAGATGGTAAGTTATTTATTTAACTCTTATTTATATAATAATTACATTTAATTTAAACTAACTAAATTCTTTATTTAAAAATTATTTAATAATGTAGTTTGTAAGTTATTTATTTAATTCTATTATTACTCTTTTATATAATATTCACATATAATTTAAATTAATTAATTCTTTATTAAAAAATTATTTAATAATATAGTTTGTAAGCTATTTATTTAATTTTATTATTACTTATTTATATAATATTTACATATAATTTAAACTAACTAAATTCTTTAAAAAACTATTCAATAATATAGCTCGTAAGTTATTTATTTGATTCTATTAATATTTATTTATATAATATTTAATATTTACATATAATTTAAACTAACTAAATTCTTTATTTAAAAAATTATTTAATAATATAGTTCGTAAGTTATTTATTTAATTCCATTATTACTTATTTATATAATATTTGCATATAATTTAAACTAACTAAATTTTTTATTTAAATATTTATTCAATAATAGCTCGTAAGTTATTTATTTAATTCTATTATTACTTGTTTATATAATATTTACATATAATTTGAACTAACTAAATTCTTTTTTAATTAATAATATAGGGAGTATGTTATTTATTATTTATATAATATTTACATATAATTAAAGGGTTTTGTTTTTTATCGCCATGGCGATGCATCGCCAGTGTCACGTGATTTTATAATTCCGGCCGGAATTAAAAGATCGTCAAAGAAATATCCTTTTTTGGAAGTTTTGTGTAATAAAAACTTGAATTTTGCTGAAAAATAAAATTGCCTTTTTTGGATTGTGTAACGTTACCTAAATCTCCAAAAAAGGATATTTTGGCCAGCGTTATAAAATTTGGCCGAGATTAAGCATGTGATGTATATGGAGTGACGAATAGTATTTTTTGCACTGAAAAAATTCAAGTCCCCAGAATAAATAATAAAAATGGAAAACTAGAGGATGTGACGCGGGGTGACAAATGATTCACATATGTAAAGTCACGTGACACTTGCGACACATCGCTATGGCGATTTTTTATAAAATCCATAATTAAAACTAACTAAATTCCATCTTTATTTAATAGATTGTAAGTTATAAGTTATTTATTGTATTTTATTATTACTTATTTATATAATGTTTACATATAATTTAAACTTCTTTCGTTTAAAAAATTATTTTGTAATTTTGTTTAGTTGGTAAGTTATATGCTATTTATTTTAATTCTAATATTACTTAATTATATAATATTTATATATTTTAAACTAACTAAATTTTTTATTTAAAAATTTATTTATTAATATAGTTCGTAAGTTACTATTTATTTAATTCTATTATTACTTATTTATATAATATTAACATATTTTAAACTAACTAAATTCTTTATTTAAAAAATTATTTAATAATATAGAGAGTAACTTATTTAATTCTATTATTATTTGTTTATACAATATTTACATATAATTTAAACTAGCTAAATTCTTTATTTAAAAAATTATTTTATAGATGGTAAGTTATTTATTTAATTCTATTATTACTTATTTATATAATATTTACATATAATTTAAACTAACTAAATTCTTTATTTAAAAAATTATTTAATAATATAGGGAGTAAGTTATTTATTTAATTCTATTATTACTTATTTATATAATATTTACATATAATTTAAACTAACTAAATTCTTTATTTAAAAAATTATTTAATAATATAGGGTGTAAGTTATTTATTTAATTCTATTATTACTTATTTATATAATATTTACATATAATTTAAACTAACTAATTTCTTTATTTAAAAAATTATTAAATAATATAGGGAGTAAGTTATTTATTTAATTCTATTATTACTTATTGTTATAATATTTACATATAATTTAAACTAACTAATTTCTTTATTTAAAAAATTATTAAATAATATAGGGAGTAAGTTATTTATTTAATTCTATTATTACTTATTTATATAATATTTACATATAATTTAAACTAACTAAATTCTTTATTTTAAAAATATAGCACGTAAGTTATTTATTTAATTTATTATTACTTATTTATATAATATTTACATATAATTTAAACTAACTAAATTCTTTATTTAAAATTATTTAATAATATATAGAGAGTAAGTTATTATTTCTATCATTATTTATTCATATAATAGGCCGCCCCAATTTGATTGTTTGTTTAACATCCAGAATTTATGAAGAATTTGAGGGGGGAGGAGTCTACAATAAACAAACAAACATAATATAACTTTTGGGAAATTCTCAAAATTCTGAAAAATCGTAATTTAAATTTAGAGGGGACTATATGTTTAATAGAATCCAGATTTTGAAAAACTAGGTACATTAAACAAATAATTAAATTGGAGTGGCCATATTTACATATAATTTAAACTAAGTTCTTTATTTAAAAATTATTTAATAATAGTTCGTAAGTCATATATTTAATTTTACTATTACTTATTATATTATATTTACATATAATTTAAACTAAATTTCTTTATTTAATAGATCGTAAGTTATAAGTTATTTATTTAATTCTATTATACTTATTTATATAATATTTACATATAAATAAATTAACTAAATTCTTATTTAAAAAATTATTTAATATATAGGGGGTAAGTTATTTTTTAAATCTGTTATTATTTATTTATATAATATTTACATATAATTTGAACTAACTAATTTCTTATTCGATAGATCGTAAGTTATAATTTATTTATTTAATTCTATTATTACTTATTTATATAATATTTACATATAATTTAAACTAACTAATTCTTTATTCAAAAAATTATTTAATAATAGGGAGTAAGTTATTTATTTAATTCCATTATTACTTATTTATATAATATTTACATATAATTTAAATTAACTAAATTCTTTATTCAAAAAATTATAATAATATAGCTGGTAAGTTTTTTTTTAATTCTATTATTACTTATTTATATAATATTTACATATAATTTTAAACTAACCAAATTCTTTATTTAAAAAATTATTTTATAGATGGTAAGTTATTTATTTAATTCTATTATGGCCATGACTAATATTTTAGAGGATGCAAAATCTTACGTGACACAAAATTAAGCATTTTTATTGGTTAAAATTAGTACTATATGTATAAATGAATATTATTGGTTAAAAGATCTTACCTGGGGGTGGATAAAGCTCCTTATGAAACTAATATTAGCTAATATATTTCACTGCCCTTATTACTTATTTATATGATATTTGCATATAATTTAAACTAACTAAATTCTTTATTTCTAAAAATTATTTAATAATATAGCTTGTAAGTTACTTGTTGTTTCTATTTTTATATATTTTATATAATGTTTTGTTAATTGAGTTCTTTATTTAAAATTCTGTTACTTTAGTTGGTAAGTTGTGAAATACAGGTTATTATTATATATTTACGAAAAAACTAAGACATATATTATATTAAATTTCATTTAAATTATAGAGTAAGTTGTTAATTTTAATCTGTAATTTTTAATATAAACTTTAATATAATTTTAATTATTTAAATTTATAGATTTGGAAAAAGTGGAAATAAAATTATTGATAATTTTATTTTGGAAAAAAAATTAAAATGGCTTCCTTATGATAAATTCAAAAATGTTGTATATCTTGATAGAGGCGGATTTGGTACTATATACAAAGCTATTTGGCTAAATGATGATGGTGATAAAGAAGTAATTCTTAAATGTCATAGTAATTTATGTGAAAATTTAAATGAATTTTTAAATGAAGTATGATAATAATGTATTTTTAATTTAATTAATTTAAATTATAATTTATTTATACTAATACGTTATTATTTTTTTATAGTGGAAATATCATGAAAGTTGTTTAAACTCATATAGAATTATTAATTTTTATGGATTTACAAAAGATCCAGATACCTTGAAATATATGGTAGTAATGGATTATGCAAACAATGGTAATTTAAGAGTAAACTTAACAAGAATAATTAAAATTAATTGGTATCAAAAATTATATATGTTACATGATATTATTTCTGGACTTTATGATATACATCTACAAAATCTTGTTCATTGTGATTTTCATGATGGCAATATTTTAAATCATAATGAGAGGAAAATTTATATTAGTGATTTAGGATTATGTCAACCTGTAAAATCATTTTTGAAAAAATATGATATATTTGGTGTTATACCATTTATGGCACCCGAAGTTTTAAGAGGTAATTCTTATACTCCAGCTAGTGATATATATAGTTTTTCTATGATTATGTGGGAATTTACATCTGGGGTACCACCATTTAATAATATAGCACATGATTTTCAACTTAGTTTAAGTATTTGTGAAGGTGAGCGTCCTGAAGTTATTAAAAATACTCCACAATGCTATAAAGATTTAATGAAAAAGTGTTGGAATGAAGATCCATTAAAAAGGCCATCATCTGAAGAAGTGTACAATATTATTAAAGGATGGGTTCTTCCTCCTAATGAAATTAAAAATATTAATGAAGAATTAAAATGCAATATTATGGAATTTATAAATGCACCAATTGAGAATAACAATCTTGTTACTGAATTTCATCCACAAACATGTTATATAAGTCGTTTACTTGACTTTACTAGTAAAGAATTGAATGAAATTCTTGAAAGTGAAGATTCACAAACTTATTATGTAAGCTATTCTTCTACTGGTATAACTGAAGATTTGGATGACTGTAAAATTTAAAATTAGGTATGTTATATATAGTATTAAAGAAAAACTAATTTTGCAAATTATTTATATGGATTAATTTTTATTTATTAATTATTCAGGTATTAAAACAGAAGAAATCAACTAAGAATTAAAAGTTATTTGTTTTGATGTATTCAGTTTTTTATTTTATTTTTAGATTTATTTAAACACTAAGACTAGAGTAGTAAAATATTTACAGTTTCTTAATTTGTAATTTAAATAATTCCTTTTTTTTATGACTTATCCAATTACAAATATTAAATATTTATATTCTCTTTATTTTTTTAATTTACTTAGAATTATTTAAACACTAAGACTAGAGTAGTAAATATTTTACAAGTTTCTTAGTTTGTAATTAAATAAATCTTTTTTTTATAATTTTAGTTATCAAAATTTGCCATATGGGGACTTCATTCCCATAGTTAAATTTTTATTTTTGTTATTTTTTTATAAATATTTATTTTTTTGTATTTTTTTATATACATATTCTTTATTACCATTTATTATTTTTTTTCTTTTCGCACTTTATCCAGATGTTGAAAAGAAAATACTAAATAAAATTGATAAAAGTTATTTTCATTAATTTACTGTATTTAGTTAATATTAGCTAATGCGTTTATTTATTCATTTCTTAATATTTTATAATTTATTTTGTCTCAATACTTTTATTTTCTTAAATTTACAAATTTACTCAAAAATAATTTAATTAAAAATTTAATAATTTAATAATTTAATATTGTTTTATTATATAATCACTCATTAAAAAATAAAATATTACTAAACCAATCTTAAGAAATTAGTCGATACATTGTTAATTAATACCCTAATGCATATTTCAATAATTTCTTACCTTACGTAAGTAATTTTAAAACTATGAAAATAAAGACGGTGCCCAAAAAATTATTTTTGATTTCATTTTCAATCAAATCTGCCATATTAATTTTTCAAAAATAATTGCAGTTATATAGTGGTCAGTTTATAAAATTTTGCCATACAACTGTTATAAATTAGTATTGTCTGATTACTGTCCAAAAACATGATAATTATAACGAATATCGAACTGCCTGATAATTTAGTGATATACAAAATTTAATTCCTTTGTAGTTTCTTTCAAATTAGTTTAAAAACATAATTCAAACATCGAAATCAAATTAGTGTGTAATATTAAATTTTTTTCAGTTTGTTATTTCTATGATACATCGAAAAATCTTTAAAAGATAAAAAAATAACCATATTAATTAAAACTATAATAATTCTATATTTTAAAAATTTAAAAAGCAGTAAAAAATTGTCCAAAGTATTTCAAAATTACTAATGAAATCATGCAATAATAATAATGTCATAATTAATACTAGTTTAATAAAGCAAAATTAATTATTAATTTTGATTTTAAGTAGTGAAGAAGTTTACGGAATAAATCACGTGTAAAAACTTAGTTCATGAATATTTACATTATTAAATTTCAAATAAATTATTGTTGTGAATTACGATCAAGTAATTTACAATTAATCTCTTAATGTCACCTGTACGTCACTTCGGAAGAAAAAAAATTAAGATTTTAGTAATGATGAAAATATTCTTGCTTCACATTTATTTACATTAAATTTTATATTATAATTTCATAAATAAGTAAACATATAAATCATTTGATAAACGTTTATTGCACGAATAAGTCGAATAATCAATGATCGGCGGTAACTCTGGCCAAGCTTATAATTCCGGCCAGAATTAAAACTTCAATTCAATCATATGTCACGTGATATATAAGTTCGTAATTCGGGCCGGCACTATAGTTTCGATTTTTTATTCGATGATCGATTCCTGATCGGATTTTCGATTATTCAGTAAATTCAAAAACAATTCGGTAAAAGTTTATTATTATAAAATTGTTATTTTATTCATTTCTTGTGATATACTTTTATCTTATATAATATTGCATTAAGTTTATTGATTAAATAATATCATAGTTTATAAAATCAAATTAATACATCCCTATCCCTATAAAACCTATTCCATATTTTTTTATTCCATGTTATTTCCGTAAATGTAGTCATATTCACAGAGATTTTTACAGAAATTACGGATAAAAATTTTTATAGGGTAGGATGCAAAAGGAGTATTGAGAAATCAAAACACTATTACCTAATATCATATGTAAGTATTTTTTCATTGGCAATTTGTTAATTTGTGGTATAGAATTTCGTCTTTAACTGATCAATTGTTTCATATCTACTATTGAATATCGGGATATTACCTTCGGGATTCTGAGCTTCGGATTTTGTACCAAATCCATTTATCCAGGGTAACTACCCGGGATTTTCTTCATATGCCACATAGTATGATAGTCATATTTATTAACTTAGTACAGTAATTTTTCTATCGTACGTGCTAAATTTATTAATCATACTATACTGATTTACTATATACCACTGTTATTCCTATCCTCATTATTTTTTTTTAAAAAAAAAGAAATGTAAGATGTAACATGGAAATTATATTTGTTATCTGATGAATTTTCTAACTAATGTTGTTAAATATGGGAATGTTAACTTGCTCAAACAGTATAAAGCTGAACTTTAATGGAACAACTATTAAGAAATTGAGCTTGATGTTTAATTTAGGCATGTTAAGTATAAATTAAAATTTTGTATCGTTTTCTGATTTAAATTTAAAATAAATACCCATTTTTATATACGAACCTTCTCTAGTGATAATCAATTGCAAATTAAGGAATTGTGGATTATTGGCATACTAAACTTGACGATCTTTAAAATTCGTTTACATATGAAAATTACTGCACTACAATAAATCTGAATCGATTGAATGATTTCTAAATTCTTATTTCTTATGAACTTAATATCTAACTTTCTTCCGAATATAACGTAGATTGGTTAAGTGAGTAACGTGAAGTCACATGTTTATCTACTACTCGCTATAATAGCATTTGCATACACTTCGGATCTTATGCAACAAAAACTGGTTTATATATCTATTACACTATTGAAACGCTAATAAAATGCGTTAACTCTCCAAAATTGCTATAATAAAACAGAAAACCCTAATTTAGAAATTATTAATTTATACATAACCCCAAATTTATATTGTTATAGCATATCATTTAATATTTTTATCATTTTTAGCGGTGATGAGTCGTTAAAACAAATGTCGATGAAACGTTTGTGCGCTTGTCAGTGAACCGTTTTCCGGTGAAATTTCCAGAAAAATATATATCATCGCATGTGATATTCGGACTTAGTTTAAATTCGATTGTAATAAATTGTAATAGGTCAATAAAATATTAAATTGAATACAAGCCATCTTTACCTCGTATAATGAAAGGTCCGTACTCCGTAGTCTAGATAAGGAATGATTATAGCACAATTATGTTCATTTTCTGATGGATCTTAAGGGGTAAAATTTCAAAATAGGAAATAATGGTTAACGATTAAATTATACAGCCTAGATTCTGCCGATCGTGTAACAAATGAAATATACAAAATTAAATTTTCATTTTTATTTTTTTTTTATTTTCCTGCAATATCCCTAAAATAATGCCAGTATTGGATGTTTAATGTGGTAATATTATTCCGATATATATATATATATATAAAACTAGCAGAATAAAAGTTCCTATAATTATTCTTCTTGGTTTTACTAAACAAAATCTCATCAATCATGAACCACATAGCTTTTATTATTGTATCATTTCTTATATTCTACAAAACTTTTGCTTTTAAATATTTTAACAATTGTAGTGGTAAGTCATCTAGTAAGAACGATTTTTATTTATTTTTCCAAGGTAACTAATATTAATAATCCATCTATTTTTTAAAAAGATGGTCCTGCTTTTGATGGCATTGACGACATTGTATTCCTGTCAAATCATCAGATTGAATTAATATTAGAAGGACCAAAACAAGCAGAAAATTCCGGTAATTTCCCATGTTGTTTGCAACAGGGACCAATGATTATTAGTAATTATACCTTTTATAATAGAAATCACTCCCTTATATATACTATTATACCAGAAAAAACAAATGAATGGGTAAATGAATACACTGAGAACAGTATCTTAAATGTGGATGATTGTACGAATGGAACCTTTAATTGTAATACAATTTATCAAGGACAATATCATTACACGCGGGCTGACAATTATGATCCCAACCATTTTTTCTCTCCAGGAGAGAATATCGGGGTTGGATTAACTGTATATGCTAAATGTTTTCAACATATAGAAACGGTTTGTTTAACTTCTTGTTGGTTTACCGCTGGCATAATTTATAATCCACCATCATAAATGGATTTTTTTATTCTTGTGATGATTATTTTTATAACATCTGTACGATTAACTTACAATAGTAATTTTACTTATTTTACATCTAGTCAATACTTATGATAATATTTATATCGTTAACAAAAATTTTTTTTTTTTTTTTTTTTATATATATACTACCATAACTATTTACAAAAAGGAGTAACAGATTGGTTTGGTATGACCAAAGCTCCGTCATGTTATATGATAGTTTTTTGATACAATTCCGCCGATCTAAGAATCGGCCTTTCAAAAAAAAAATAAACAATAGAAATTTTTTTTTTTTAAAAAAAAATACTAAATTTCTTTATAGTGTTATACAGTGATTAAGATTTATATTACTAATATATTGATTTTTATCTAAAAGAAATAACTTTGATTATATTGTTATTTTTGAAATAAAAAAATTTGTTTTATAAAATGTGTATAAACAACGTGAAATTTAATTTGAAATTCTTAATAGGTTTATCATTATATAACCAAAAAATTTTAAGAAAGTTTTAGATAGATCGATTCACATAATTCCTATCGGGACATGCGGAATTCTATGAATCATGTGAAATTTCATATACAGTATAATCATTTGGTGAATAAATTTCCAATAACCACATGAGGAAATTTTTTTTCGATGTAAGATCTACAGAGAATCAATTAAGAAAATCCTAAGACACATGGAAGTGGATCTACAGATTTAGAGTTCGTTACACATGGATTAATTAGGGAGTACTATGAAGAAATTGTTAATTTATTACGGAGAAACATTAACTGAATATTTATGTATGGAGAAATCATATGAAATGTTATGGGAAATATTTAGGGTATACGATGATCATTTTGATTTGTAATTCACTGTCTAAAAGAGTAACGTGGTTTTTTGTAAAGACATAAAATTTTTTTGAAAAATTAAAAACCTTTTACAACTTTACAAAGTATTATTTACTTGTTATATTATTTACTTGTTATAAGAAAAGTTTATATGTTAGTATTTTAAACGCAAAACTATTAATAATATAAAGTAGTAGTATTTGCATGGGTTGAGTTTTTTCACATGAACGAACCATATTAATAAATATATAAAGTAGCATATCAACTGCTTAAAAATCATTATTTTATTAATATATATAATATATTTATAAACTTTAATTATTAGTCATTATGTATGAAATAATATTACATTAATACCTGATTACTTTAATTACTTCTTATTTCAATCTTTCTTTCTGACGTTCTTTCTTTTTTTGTAATATTTTTTCGGTTAGTGTAATTCCTCATAATTTATAAATCTCCCTATCGCTGATCAAGAAGTACCCCATTTTTTTGAGGGATGTTCTGATCATGAGGGTATCATGCATATCAGCTGATCAAGTAAATATCCGCAGTAAAAAGTTTCGTAAATTTTATTTATTCTATCATTATATAATTATAAAGACTTAAAATACCTTTACTTCTTCAAATATTTAGCAATTAAAGCTCATTAAAATTTATAATTATTCTAATAACTATCCTAAGAAATTTATTATTGAATACTGAATCTGGACAGCGCTATACTTATCATTAACGAAATTAACGAAGAATATTTGTTATATATCTATCATTCATTTCAAACACTTCAATAAATCTATTTGGAAAAAGTTTAGGAAAAAAGATAAGTTTAAAAATAAAACCTGAACTATATAATATTGAAATTACACAGAAAAATAAATAGGGCACACGAGATCAGTCGATATAGATTATAAATGACAAACATGGTAAGAGATTTATCATTTTGAAACATAAATTTATTCTTATTAGACAAAACATAATTAAAATATCATTTTTTGATTTACAGTATATACATTATAAATAGTTTTATTTAAGAACAATAATTTACTTACTAAATTGCGAAAAGAAGTCTTTTGTAAATGATGCTGTAATACAATCTATATATTTTATTATAATGTACTTGCAACAGATATTCTAGAATTCAAATGATTCAAACATGGCTTTGCAATTATCTGATTTCCTGTATCAGTCGTTGGATTAAATTTAGGAATTTTATTTAAAAAACAGACAATTAAAGTGACTTTAATTTTCTTAATTTGATCATCATGATACTTGGATATTTTTTCAATCTAAATATTAAGATAAATTATTATTTAATAATTAAGAAATCAGAGTAATCCTCATATTTATTTGTAACGCAGTACAGAAAAAAATATACAGTACATACCATTAAACTAATAGCAGAACAAAAAAAAAGCATCCCATTGGCCAGATTGTATCATTAGTCGCATGTGCTCTGGTTGTCTTTGAGTTTATTGAGATGGATATTTATTTCTGAAAATAAATCAGCAATCATATATTTCCAGTATGGCTATATGTTTATTAATACCATTAATAAATACAAAAAAAAAGAAATAATAAAATTCTTAAATATACCTTAATCAAATCAATATTATTCTTGCAATTTCTAGAACCTTTAAGTGAATTGCCAACATCAATTTTCCAGTTTTCCACTTGATTTTATGAGGTTTTTTAATGAATCCAATTCTTTAACATCAGTTTATGTTCTTGACATATTTTCAACAACATTTAAAGAATTGGAATTGATTCTACAAAATGAATTTGATTTGCAAACAACTAAACATTAATATTGAATGTTTATTATAATATTTGATATATTACCTTGTGAAGAAGGTTTGTGAAATAGAATATGATTAATTTTCATTTCTGTTCCTATCAGATTCTTGATCTGAACCACTAGAATAAAATTCATTTTCTTCATAATTTAGTTTTTGATTTTCAAGAAATTGAAGAAATTTTTTTTTTTTCAGCAACTATGTATTTAAAATAATTCTTCTTTGATGGTTGGTATCTTGCATTGAACTTTCCATACTAACTTTTTCATTTTCATTAAGATGATCATTTGCTTGAATTGGTGGCGTAATAATTTCAGAAAATAAAGTTGTTTTTTGAAACAAATTGAATAATTGTTCTTTTTCCTTTGAAGTTCTCTTTGGAATATTTTCATGAATATGTTCATCGTTTGTTCCTGAGATGATAGTTTGGATGATGAGAGTATATTTCATTATCATTATTTTGTTTCTAAAATTGGTTTTCTTATTTTCTTTTATCTTGCAATTTTGTATTATTTGTATAATTATTTTTCTTGAGAATTTTTTAGTAATTCTATCACTATGGTGTTATGGTTTTGTTTTGTCATATTATTTTCTTGAAATTTTTCATTATTTTTAATTATTGGAAAAGAAAAAATTATTGGAAAATAAAAATGAAAAATAAAAAAAAAATCATTAAAGTCTATTTATAGCCAATAAAGTTTAATTTGCATATGATAATTACTTCTTTGTGTTACACAAATTATTAATTTATATCTCAAAAGAAACCTTATATTTATCAGATTAATTTTCACAGCAGAAATTTTACAAATAAGAAAAAAAAGTTAATCCAATTCTATCAGTTCAACAAAATTATTTATCAGTGTAAATATTCATTAAATTGCTATGTATTTCTATAATAAAATTTTTAACTTCTAATATTCTAAGGCACATTTTTTTATTTTATATAAATAGAATGAAGTTTACATTTAATAATTGTGGAATTTTTTAATAAAGGAACTCATGAGTTAACATTACTTGGTTTTGATCAATTAGCAATAAAAATTAATACAACGAATTAGGGCATAATAATACCAAAAAAAAAACCTTATTATTTGTTATTTGGTGACTATTACTATAATAACCTCAAAATAATTTATTTTTACGACTCTCTGAAAATTGATCTTAAATTTGTTTTCTTCTCTTAATGGTTTCCACTTAATTTTGGGTCCAACAAACTACCATTGTATTTTAGATAGAAATAATAAACAATATCTGAAATTCACTTGGAAAAGAAAATGGGTGTAACTGTTGGTCCAGAGAAAAGGGAAAAAAATGAAAAAAATGATACGATTATTGAGGACGAAGATGATGAAGAAAATTCAATGATTTCTGCGGTGCGTATGAATTATAAATTTATTTTGATACTTGTAATTAATATTTTCTTTTTTTTTAGGCTTTTAGCTCAGAGGATGATCCAACATTATCATATTTGACATTTAGGTTTTGGGTTTTGAGCACGGCGAGTACATGTTTTTCATTATATCATTGGAAAACTATAATGACCCATAATTTTATATTTAGTTTTTCACATCACTTTGCGCAGCAATATCACAATTCTATCATTTTCATCCAAATAATGGAGATTTTTCACCTTTTTTGTGGTGTTTGTATCTTATGTTGCTGGAAGATGGATGGCAAGAGTATTACCAACGCAAAAATTTCAAATTTTGCGATGGAGCTTTAGTCTCAACCCAGGTTTGGTTTAGTTGTATTTTGAGAAATATTTATAATATTCTCAACAATGATGATATTCAATTATTGTTTTTTTACTTTTGTTTGACAGGACCATTCAATATCAAAGAACACGTTTGTATATTTGTAGCGACAGGTGCTGGCGGTGGTTCAGCTTACGCTACGGTATGTTTTAAGCGTTTCTACATGTCAAATCATTAACTAATAAGGCAGGATTATATAATAGGATATTATTTCCATACATACAAGAGCTTTTTTATCATCACTCAATCAATTTTGGTCAAGGTTTTCTTTTGCTTATGAGCACACAGATTATAGGGTATGGTTTCACGGGATTTCTTAGAAAATGTAAGATTAGCAGGAATGACCGAAATTTGGAAATACTTGATTTTTTATTTTTATTTGTATTTTATTTTATTTATATTTTATTTTATTTTATTTTATATAACAATAGATCTTGTTCATCCACCAAGTATGATTTGGCCATCCAATCTTCACCCCAGCCAAATGATCGGTATAGTTTCTAAGCTAAGTGGGCATGCACTACATCCTAGCTTATAAACTGCCCATGGGCCAGATTAGCCCACGAGATCTGATTGGTCCAAACAACTTACCAACATTTTAATTACAAATAAGGCAATTTTATAACTTTTGACTGGATATTTACTTATAAACTCATAGTCAAGGATTGCATTAATGTACATTTTGTACCACCTTGTAACTATAAAAAAGGCAAAAATTTTTTTAAGGTTACACATTAATTTGGCCAGAATTAAGATAATTTCGCCCAGCAAAATTTGGCCGGAATTATAAAACAGACATAAATGTCCATTTGCAAATTTGGCCAGAATTATAAAAACGGACATAAATTTAGCCGGAATTATAAAACGGACATAAATGTCCGTTTGCAAATTTGGCCAGAATTATAAAAATGGACATAAATATAAATTTGGCCAGAATTATAAAAACGGATATTTATGTCCGTTTTTGTAAATTTGGCCAGCATTATGAATGTAAATATTTTAACTAATTATTCAGTAATCATGAATAAATAAATTATATTTTGTTGTCTTTGTCTCATCAAAATATGCTAAATAGTGGAATTTCTATTATCAATAAATAAAAGTTATTAGCATTTATAAATATTTAAAAATATAAAAAATTATTTCAAGAAAATGTTAATATTTTATTATTTATTTATTAATCCTAAAGGTATAAAACTGCTACCATTTAAAATATCTCAAAAAAACAATC